CGGTTTCTTCTTTTTTTATTCTTCGCTTCTTCTGTTTTATTCTTTGCTTCTACGAACATTGGCGGATTTTATCAATCTCTTATTACGGTAAAGGTTAATATTCCTTACTGTTGCGTATTCACAAAACAAATCGATCTTCGGACAAACGCTTTCGCACTAAGCGCTTCATTTGGATAGATTTGATTGGAGTTTGATTATCCAACCATTGAGCTCGGCAAATAAATTATCTGGCAGTCTTTACTATTTCACGACATACGGAAAGACAAGATCAGTTTCAAAACGAGAAAGTAGGAATCAGTCATTCAGTATTCCTCGATTAGAGTTACTCCCCGTCATAATTGGAGTAGAAGTACTGGAATTCATTAAACAAGAAATCGAAGTGGAAAAAACATATTTATGGACGGATAGCACTTGTGTCCTGCACCGTTTAAAAAAACTGCCGGTAGGATTCAGATATGTCTCAAACAGAACTGATAAGTAAAGAAATTGAATTCCGTCATGTAAGAAAGTAATCCAGCAGACCAGGCTTCACGAGGATTTCTCCCAGGTAAACTGAAAGACAATTCGTTGTGGTGGAATGGACCATCATGGTTATGGGAGCCGAAGAAAAAATGACTCGAGGATAAAGTTATGAAAGGAAACATCACAAGAGTGTGTATGGCCATGGGATTGATGGAAGAAGCGATGCAGTCAGATCAAGTTACGGCATTAATAGATGAGTCACGACTCTCATCATTGTCTAAATTGATAAGAACGATGTTATAAGTCTTACGATTCTTTGCGGAGATATCAAAGGAGAAGATAAGAAGTTTGAAAGGGTTCTCCCGAGGGAATTTTCCATCTAATTCGTATGACAAGGTAATGCAATGGTAGTCAAGATGGCACAGTTAAACATAATGCAAAGGGTAATCGAACACTGGGGTTTAAGAAAAGACCAGAATGGAATCTGGAGATGTGTTGGAAGACTTCGGCTATGCCTCGAATTGAGGATTTTCCGTATTTCATCAACAGAGGAAAGATACCAGAACTGATCGTGAAGCATTACCATGAGAAATTATTTCATGCGAGCGTGCACTACATCTGGTGCAAAATGAAACAATGGTATTGAATCCCGCATGGGCGGTCATATATCATGAAAATTTTGAGAAAGATTTGTAAAGGTTGTACTATGTGGATGGCTACGCCATCTGGGCAACCAGACTTTTCTCCTTATCCGGTTGCTAGAGTTGTAGGAACGAGACCGTTTGAAACTGTCGCGAAAGTCGCGAAAACTAAAATAAATTTTATAATTATACAAATAAAATTAGGAATGTTTTCCATGATTTATGGTTTACCATTTATCTCACATATTTGTTTAAATTTACATTCCTGAGATTTATTTCCGTTTCAATTCCCATGTTTTTTTTATGTCTAACCACATGTCTTTGTTTAGAAATGCCTTTGTTAGCAATTGCTTAAAATATCTAACTAAATACACATCGGATCTGCTCATTGGATCTTGTTGCGATGTGCATGTTCTGTAATTTGGCTCTCAACAGTTTCGGGTGTTTAATATCACCGCCTCTCACTTCTTAACGTACATAAGCCTATCCAAAATAAAAAGGGTTAGTTCTTTGGACGCGATACCAACGCTATTGACAGGATATTTCCTGGCATTTCTGCTCTTCATCCAACTTTTCATCCAACTGTCCAATTATTACCAATTTAAAGTCTATTTGGCTTGGTCAATATTAATGTTTTAATAGATCTGCATATTATCCTGTCAATAAAGAAGTTCTTTGGTCACTCTTCTACACAAATAAATATCAAATTTATAGTTGCTGAAACTATTCAACTGAGATAATCAAACTTTCACAACAGAAACAGTTGGTTTAAACCTGTTTGGGCCAGCTCTAATAAATGAGGATCATGCCAATGCCAAACGATGGGTGACTCTGTTTACATGTTTAGCCACTCGAGCTGTGCGTCTTGAATAGAAACTATGTCTACTGAACAATTTATGCAGGCAATAATCCCTTTTGTTGAAAGCCAAATATCTTTGCTATATATGCCCATATCGTCATAACCCTATACAATGTGCGCTCCATGAGAAAGCTAATTCTTGTAATCATAAACGGGGCAAGCATCCTCCCACTCGGAGAAACGGATCATCCGGAGCGCCAAATCATTTCGAAAGACGCGTTTCGACAGGTTGGTTGGTTGGAGGATATCGGGCGTGATTTAATTTCGTTTGTTAATTTCGTTTGGTTTTCGTTATTAGTATATTATATCGATGTCGTAATTGTAAGTTCATTGTTGTATTAATAAATTTATCGTAATAAAGGTTTAATTATCCAAGTTTGAGGTACTACCGACTAAAAAGACAGAAAGAACCCTCAGTTTTGTCATGGTTGAAGAAAATCGGCGACAATCCTAATCAAAATTACCTGCTGTGTTGCTATTCTTATCTATTGTATTACTGTAGTACTATCATGATATGAAACTGATTAACTGTTTAGCTAACGAAAAATTTCGAACTTGCCCAAAAAGTTGGTAGCATAGAATTGGTTAAAGCTTTGTTTTTGGTGAAATATTAAATTCTTGCTTCTCATTTAATATATTTATCCTTTCGTCGTCATTGTAAATAAAGCCATTTAAATAAAGCCGTTACGGCAATAAATGCAGTATATTTGTTAATTAATAAACATTTCAACATTTTACGTTTTCTAATTATTCATCAAAAATTCAAACACTGGAAAAAATTATGCAAATGTGAAGGGACATTAAAAGTTTTCATTAGCAGGAATTTATGACTTTTTACAAAGCAAAAAAAAAAATATGAAAAGTTATGATTCGAAATGCCGATGGGTCAACCACAATTGGTGAATTTAATTATATTTTATTAGTGAATTGGAAAGTTTTACATAGATATTTTGTACGAATCCAATACGAATTTGTCATATTTTTAGAGTGTAGCATGTGTCCGAGAGAAGAGATGGCGAATCCACGCCAGCAAAATGCATAGACAAAGTGATAAGTTTATCTTCGAACTTCAGTATACTGATATGAATAAGAGAAGTTTTTGAAAAGATTATTACTATTATATATCTGTTTCAGGTTTTTGCCAGAAATGCGGCCACTTCATTGATATGCCGCATGTCAGCTCTGACGACGAAATTACAGCCACGATGAAGCTCCATTTTTTGGAACGATGCCCAAAGGCCACAAAGGCTGTTATTAATGACAGAGCTATTAAACGACGAAGGCTTGAATTTATGGATAGAAACGAAGTAGCCCAGCATTATTACATTCCTGGTTAGTAAGATTTCTCTTTTCAAATGATGCAAATAGAGGGAACTATTATCTTAAATATTATTCCAATCAATCTTTTCTTTTTTTTCAAGTGCGCAACAATAATGGGACTTCTACCCACATCGCAAATGAAGAGATCTTTTTTTATGCAGCGAATACAAAGGCCATCTCTATCCAACTTTCGCCCTCCCTCAGTCACCAAGTTTCTCGTCCTCACGCAGATAACATAATGTACTTGTCCACTAGCAGATTGATCTTTTTTTTCGGGTTCTTTTTACTAATTTTTTATTGTGGTGCTGATTATTTGTTGTTATTTCGATGCTAATTATTGAATCTTTGAATTGGTCACTGATTTTCGAATGTGTTTATCTAACGCAGTCATTACTTTTTGAAAAATCACAACGCAAATTTTAGACCCCGCTACTCTTTAGTGAGATTTCTTCGAATTTAATTTCCGAACTGAGCGGTGTGATAATTTCGAAAGCACAAATTATATATATATTATATATATATATATAATTATATATATATACATATATATACATATAATTGTATATATATACATATACATAATTATATATATATATAT